GTTCAAATTTAAATTTGATTTAAATCAAAGAGTAAGAAATTCAGTGGAGGCTTTCTGCCTTACGGGGACCCCTTTGATCAATGTGAAATATACTTACCCAAGTAGCGTAGGGTCATTCTCTTGTTCAAATTTAAATTTGATTTAAATCAAAGAGTAAGAAATTCAGTGGAGGCTTTCTGCCTTACAGGGACCCCCTTTGATCAATGTGAAATATACTTACCCAAAATTTAAATTTGTAAATCAAAGAGTAAAATTCAGGAGTCATTCTCTTGTTCAAATTTTCTCTTGTTCAAATTTAATTTAAATTAAAGAAAGTAAGAAATTCAGTGGAGGCTTTCTGCCTTACGGGGACCCCTTTGATCAATGTGAAATATACTTACCCAAGTAGCGTAGGAGTCATTCTCTTGTTCAAATTTAAATTTAATTTAAATCAAAGTAAGAAATCATTGGAGGCCTGCCTTGTTCATCAATTTAAATTTAAAGTTTAAAATTTAAATTTGATTTAAATCAAAGAGTAAAAATTCAGTGGAGGCTTTCTGCCTTACGGGGACCCCCCTTTGATCAATGTGAAATATACTTACCCAAGTAGCGTAGGAGTCATTCTCTTGTTCAAATTTAAATTTGATTTAAATCAAAGAGTAAGAAATTCAGTGGAGGCTTTCTGCCTTACGGGGACCCCTTTGATCAATGTGAAATATACTTACCCAAGTAGCGTAGGAGTCATTCCTTGTTCAAATTTAAATTTAATTTTTTAAATCAAAGAGTAAGAAATTCAGTGGAGGCTTTCTGCCTTGGGACCCATCAATTTGAAATATAATTTATTTAATTTAAATCAAAGAGTAAGAAATTCAGTGGAGGCTTTCTGCCTTACGGGGACCCCCTTTGATCAATGTGAAATATACTTACCCAAGTAGCGTAGGGAGTCATTCCCTTGTTCAAATTTAAATTTAATTTAAATCAAAGAGTAAGAAATTCAGTGGAGGCTTTCTGCCTTACGGGGACCCCCCCTTTGATCAATGTGAAATATACTTACCCAAGTAGCGTAGGAGTCATTCCTTGTTCAAATTTAAATTTAATTTAAATCAAAGAGTAAGAAATTCAGTGGAGGCTTTCTGCCTTACAAAGGGGACCCCCCTTTTGATCAATGTGAAATATACTTACCCAAGTAGCGTAGGAGTCATTCTCTTGTTCAAATTTAAATTTAATTTAAATCAAAAGTAAGAAATTCAGTGGAGGCTTTCTGCCTTACGGGGACCCCTTTGATCAATGTGAAATATACTTACCCAAGTAGCGTAGGAGTCATTCCCTTGTTCAAATTTAAATTTAATTTAAATTAAAATCAAAGAGTAAGAAATTCAGTGGAGGCTTTCTGCCTTACGGGGACCCCCTTTGATCAATGTGAAATATACTTACCCAAGTAGCGTAGGAGTCATTCCTTGTTCAAATTTAAATTTAATTTAAATCAAAGAGTAAGAAATTCAGTGGAGGCTTTCTGCCTTACGGGGACCCCCCTTCAATGATCAATGTGAAATATTCCTTGTTCAAATTTAAATTTAATTTAAATCAAAGAGTAAGAAATTCAGTGGAGGAGGGACCCCTTTTCAATGTGAAATATTTACCCAAGTCAAATTTAAATTTAAATTTAAAAATCAAAGAGTAAGAAATTCACTGGAGGGTTTCTGCCTTACGGGGACCCCCTTTGATCAATGTGAAATATACTTACCCAAGTAGCGTAGGAGTCATTCTGTTGTTCAAATTTAAATTTAATTTAAATCAAAGAGTAAGAAATTCAGTGGAGGCTTTCTGCCTTACGGGGACCCCCTTTGATCAATGTGAAATATACTTACCCAAGTAGCGTAGGAGTCATTCCCTTGTTCAAATTTAAATTTAATTTAAATCAAAGAGTAAGAAATTCAGTGGAGGCTTTCTGCCTTACGGGGACCCCCTTTGATCAATGTGAAATATACTTACCCAAGTAGCGTAGGAGTCATTCCCTTGTTCAAATTTAAATTTGATTTAAATCAAAGAGTAAGAAATTCAGTGGAGGCTTTCTGCCTTACGGGGACCCCCTTTGATCAATGTGAAATATACTTACCCAAGTAGCGTAGAGTCATTCTCTTGTTCAAATTTAAATTTAATTTAAATCAAAAGAGTAAGAAATTCAGTGGAGGCTTTCTGCCTTACGGGGACCCCCTTTGATCAATGTGAAATATACTTACCCAAGTAGCGTAGGAGTCATTCTCTTGTTCAAACTTAACTTAAAAACATAGGACAAGCATTTTCAGTGGGTGTTTTTGACCCTTCCGCCACCGGACACACTTTGAACAAAATGATATATGTATATATATTTCATATATGTATATGTGTATGTGTGTGTGTGTGTGAGAGAGAGAGAGAGAGTGAGAGTAAGAGTGAGAGTGAGTATATTGTGGAATTAACCAGAACAACTTTATAAAGGTAACCTTTTCTTACAGTTTAAAGGCAAAATGTCCATGATGGCGAAATTCAAAGACATCTTGGTATTATGGGGCCGCTGATTCGATACACCAGACGTAGTCGTTAATGTGGTACAAATCTAAAGAATAGTCGAGGTGATTTTTAAAACTCTCGGTCAGCCACACATAAACCAATTGTCCCTCATAGGAAAGAGTAAAACCGCTACAACCAGTGAATTCAAAAGAAATGTTAATGTTAAAATTTCGAACGTGTCGCATATCATTACATTATGTCATCTCCTATTTATAGCCTGATAAAGTTGTGTTTACTTGGCGTATATATATATATATATATATATATATGGTGTATATATATATATATATATATTACAATGAATCATTCATACAAAAAGTAGATTAGTAAAGTTAATGATATAAAATGGCGAAATCCTTTCGCAAAGAAAATTTTAAAGTTTCATAACCTATAAATCACTTGATGAATGTTAGATCCCTGTTTTTAATAACTATAAGCTCTATAAGGTCTTTTTTTAATACGCAAGTATTTTCAACTATACATCCAGTCCTCCGCAGACATGGAAATTATTTTGTTTTTAGTAAAATCCAGGTAGAATCCGAGACGAAAAAACTAAATGCGAATCGGAATATTTTTTTTTTTAAATGTGTTAAAACAAGGATCATTCATCGAGTAATTTATAGGTTAATGAAACTTTAAAATTTTCCTTGCGCCATTTTATATCATTAACTTTACTAATCTACTTTTTGTATGAAAGATTCATTGTAATGTAAATTGAATTGCACCACATATTTGATATACATATATATAAGATAAATTCAATAAATATTCTCTATGTATTATCGATAAGCAATATTTATGTAAATTGTACAATATTAATATATTGATAGGGCAATGGTAAATCACATAAATATAAGAAATTAAAGGTCAAGATCAAATGGTAAATTTATTAAAACCAAGAATGTAGAATGGTTACTGTTTCCCTTACGGAGAGTATGTTGCTGTCACGAACGAGAGCCAATATCTTCAAGACAAAAAGATGTCCACACCACAACTGTATGACCTAATTATGTCCGAGAGCGATATTTTGAAAATGATGAATTTATTGGCATTCTGAGGCGTCAACGACACTATAAATGTTTCTACACAAGCCAAGACACCAGGAAAAAAATTAGAAAACACATCTAAATAATTAACTTCTTTTTGCATACTCCACTTAGCGAAGAAGCGCAAAGCCACTGATGCTAACTATATTTTTCATTATGTCCCTTTTCTTTAAGTATGCGTATAGATAAAGCTGACCATTGGAAAGATGATTGCAGGTCTTAATCTAACGTGTTTCACTTTGTAAAGCTTTATCAGTAATGATAGATTATGATAAATAGCAAAGAGAGGCAGATTAATAGCATGTTGCGTTTGACTGTTTCTTATTGGTTAGATACGTGTCACGTGTAATGAAGTAACAGGTAATATTTAAATATCTTTGACAAAAATTCTCGACGCTCAAGTGTGTAAAAGTTAGTAAGATGCAGTAGGATGTTTTGGCTGGATACGTTTATACAAAATTAAACAATTTGTTTGCCTGGCCTGAGTGCGCATCCAAGAGCAAGAATCAGACTTTATCACTTGTATATCCTTGCTTGATCCAGCTTCTAATGCTCCGGAGGGAGCGGCTTGGGGAAAGAAGAAGTGGCTATTGGGGCATTTAGTGAGTAGTGGCGCCATATCGAGTCAATCAGTGTCTTCTTCGTCATCGAGCCCCTTTGGTCCAGTGGCATGACAACTGTATCATAACGGTCCGGGTTCAATTCTCGATAGTGCATGCGTATTGCTGATGAGTCCCAAATAGGACGAAACGGCCGTCCAGTGCTTTCTGCATTCTGTTGAGGATTCTTCTAGACTCGATAAATTACTATATATATATATATATATATATATATATATATATATATATATATATATATATATATATATGTGTGTGTGTGTGTGTGTGTGTGTGTGTGTGTGTGACAGAAATGTTCCTTGGGGATATCATTAAGGCAAGTGTCTACACAGAAGTAACTGGGAGGAAAATTACTTTACCCTCATAATGAAAACTGCTTCTACTAGAAAGCACAGTGCAAATAAGTGTGATTTCTCAGCTTCAAGCAACTTTCTAAATAACTTTCATCTGTCTTTTCAAACCTTCCTACACTTTGCTAACTTGCGAAAATGCTGCATGTCTTGAAATTTATTGAATTCTTTAACGGGAAATCATGGAACGTATTGATAATTATGTTAATGTCATTGTTCAATGTGTATACTATGGTTGTTAAATGCATGTTAAATGCATGCTACTTTTCTATTTGATATTGATGACAAAACCATTTCCATAATATTTATTATCATCAAAGCTATTAACTTGTGCTGTCAATCTCCAATATTAATAGAAAGCCATTCTTTAATCTTAGTTTCTCGGAGACAAAAGACAAGTGTTATAACTCTCAAAATCCGGAGTCAATAATTAGAAGTCATTACATCCTCCTCCTTAGAAGTCATTACTTCCTCCTCGTTAGAAGTCATTACCTCCTCCTCGTTAGAAGTCATTACTTCCTCCTCGTTAGAAGTCATTACCTCCTCCTCCTTAGAAGTCATTACTTCCTCCTCGTTAGAAGTCATTACCTCCTCCTCCTTAGAAGTCATTACCTCCTCCTCGTTAGAAGTCATTACTTCCTCCTCGTTAGAAGTCATTACTTCCTCCTCGTTAGAAGTCATTACCTCCTCCTCGTTAGAAGTCATTACATCCACCTCCTTAGAAGTCATTACATCCTCCTCCTTAGAAGTCATTACTTCCTCCTCGTTAGAAGTCATTACCTCCTCCTCGTTAGAAGTCATTACCTCCTCCTCGTTAGAAGTCATTACTGCCTCCTCGTTAGAAGTCATTACCTCCTCCTCGTTAGAAGTCATTACCTCCTCCTCGTTAGAAGTCATTACCTCCTCCTCCTTAGAAGTCATTACCTCCTCCTCGTTAGAAGTCATTACCTCCTCCTCCTTAGAAGTCATTACCTACTCCTCCTTAGAAGACATTACTTCTTCCTCGTTAAATGTATTACCTCCTCCTCTTTAGAAGTTATTATCTCCGCCTCCTTAGAATTCATTACATCCTCCTCCTTACTAGTAATTACAGCATCCTCCTTAGAAATCATTACCTCTCCCTGCTTGGAAGTACTTAGCTCCTCCTCCTTAGAAGTCATTGCCTCCTCCTCCTTAGAAGTCATTACCTCCACCTCATTAGAAGTCATTACCGCTTCCTCGTTAGAAGTCATTTGCTCCACCTCGATAGACGTCATTACTTCCCACTCCTTAGAAGTCATTATCTCCTCCTCGTTAGATGCCATTACCTGCTACTCGTAAGAACTCAATACCTCCTCCTCCTCCTCCTCCTCCTCGTTAGAAGTCATTACAGCCTCCTACTTAGAAGTCATTACCTCCTCCTCGGTAGACGTCATTATCTCCTCCTCCTTATAAGTCAATACCTCCTTCACCTTAGAAGTCATTACCTCCTCCTCGTAAGAAGTCAGTACCTCCTACTCCTCCTGATTCTGATCATCATCATTAAAGCTGTTTCGATTTGAATGCACACTCTCAATGACTTTGATTTCTCATCTTCACTAACTTTGAAGATATCTTTTATCAATCAGCTCTAGTTCCCTTTTCTTCTGCGAAGTCACAAAAGTAGTGCATGTCTTTTAAGCTCTTCAAAATTCTTAAGGGTGTGAATTGTATTTTATTGATAGTGCTTGCAATATAAATAAAAAGCTTAGGGCCACATCAAGTTGTAACACCGGCCCACATACGATCACTGAAGTTAAGCAACGTTAGACCTGATCATAACTAGATGGGTAACCGCTTAGAAATACGAGATGCTGTAAGCTCGGATATACAGGTGGTGTAATGGATAATGGCTCGGAATTGTTAATTGGAGATCTGAGTTCCAATTTCTGTTCGGTATGTTATATTCAACTACGCGCAAATACCTTTGTGAATGGTATAAATCTACCTGTTCTCCAACAGCTATCGGTTAATTAGTAAAAATTGTATCACTAAATCATTATTATCTAAAAAAAATTCTTACAGTCTAAAAATACTTTCTGGCTTTAAATAACCTGCCAGATTTTGATACACCACAGGAAACGAATCAAGTTTGTTCAGTTGATAATCGCTGTTCTTCTAATGTCAATGTTATCTTCTCTGCAAGAATTACAATTCATTATGTGTTTAAACTTTGAAGTAGAGAACGCTCTAGAATATTCGAAAACCTCACGAATAAATAAAAGGAGAACTTTAGTATGGTGAAATTAGTCGTTTCTTTATAAGGAAACATTTGCATTCATTTACCGAGCAGTATGTACTATCATCTGTTGAAATTTATAATTTTTTCTCTTAAAATAATCTTTCAGGAAAACAGATTTCTCAAACCCTGTAGCTGTTAATGCCTTTTCCAGTTTTATCTGAAGCGTGATGTTAACATCTTGATTATCTCATTATTTTCTCTTCGAGTTAAAAGTCATATTTATTTTTGTTGTTGCTGCTGTTGAAAGTCTTCAAGTGATCTGGTTTCTTATTTGGTACAGTCATTTTTTATTATTCAGTTCACAATGTTAGAAGCGTGAAATTCGTTATGATTCACAGGCTTCACTTAAAGTCGTTTTAAACAATTGATCTTAGAAAGGGTTGTATATAGAGCAGTGGTTTCCAACCGATTTTGGGCCATCCCCCACTTTCAAATTTCTAAAATTCTGGTGCCCCTCTCCTTTAATATTTAATTCTTACATATTCAAAATTTTACTGCAATTCACGTGATGGAAACTTAAAACGTCATTAACTTCTCTAAAGAAGCCTCCAAAGACCATGGCGTCCATGAAAGAGAAAAATTTAAAAAAACAAAAAGATAGTTAAATATATATATATATATATATATATAGTTTCTAAAATTATGATAGAGAACTGAAAGGCAGCAATATAAAATATTTAAATGAAAGTTTATTCTGTAATATACTTTGATCATTTTAATCATGAAATAATAATGCAAAATGAAATTTGAGCTCACTAGAAAACAATTTGGTTTGGTTTATTTTGTTTTACGGCATATCAACCTCAATTGGTTATTTAATGCCGACAACATTTTTTATTGCTGGTAATATTTTGCTTTGTCAAAAATCTGTTTCTGGTAATATTTTTCCTTCAAAATTGTATTGCGGGTAATAATTTTTTTCAAAAAAGTATTGCTGGTAATAGTTAACTATTTGCCCATCGCTGTGATCCTAACAGGTGCTACCACTCTGGGTCAGGGTAGACCTGGGAACACCAGCAATTAAGAAGTGGTTCCACGCTCCTCAAAACCTCCTGATCAGATGCCTTGCTGCTGGGTGTAGTTTAACGTCTTGCCCAGGACGTAGAAAACAATTTACTCTGAATAATTCATTCTCGAATTGCACGCTTATTCTGTTGGTATAGTAAGCCGAAGCGTGCACATCCTACGCATGCCTCACCAAAATATTACTGCGCCCAGTTTGGGAATCATTGATATAGAATAACTGAGAATTTAGATATTTCCGATGGAGCTTGGCGCCATTTATGACATCGTATGAAAGTTATGGAGGACGCTCTCGTGACGTAAGTTGTTTTTTGGCGTATGAACAAAATTGAATTAATGTCTTTGGTATTGTTGTTGGTCATTTATGTACTTTTTATATATTTAATTATTTTTAATTTTATTTTGAAAGGCCAATGATTTCGATGTTAGCTTTTGATATACATTACTATTCAAAAGTTTGAAGCAACCCCCAGCATTAATACTGAATGGATTGTCTAATCAAAAATGAAAAAAAAAAAAAACATCTCTTCGAGTCCTTGAAAAAAGAATGGGATTAATTATCAAACTTCTACTTTGAGAACCTTTTGCAACGAGTGCCAAAAATTTGTGCTGTATTAATCAAGGCCAAATGAGAATATTTTGACGAGAGCAAATTTTTTTTCTTTTTATCATTATAAAACTTCTAATAAAAATCATATCTCACTTTTTTTTTACTATGTATAACAATTTTATCTTATTTAAAGTACAAAACTACTTTTGAGGCCAATTAAAAAATTACCAGGGGTCGCCTCAATTTTTTTTAACTGTAATGAATATATAGGTGCTTTCGCGCGCGCGCGTGTGTGTGTCTGTGTTTGTATGTGTATCTATATAGCAATACACATATTGTACATGTCACTTGTTTCTGAGAGAAAGATTTGTGCTCAACTCGACTTTATAACAAACTCATATATCATGCATAATATCTCCCTTACTCTTCACGACTCTAGGCATATTAAAGAATTATTGCATGTAACAAAACTTATGTTTTTCTTGTCATTCGCAATCTGCTAAAATTTAAATCGATTATGTTGCAGAATATACAAGATATAAACTGTCCCTATAGCGTCGACATTATATCACCTTTTATATTAATCGCAACCAGGCTCATTACTACGCAGACTTATTAACAGTTATTAAACCTAAAGCAACACTCACAAAAGAAAGCACACGCTTAAATCGTAGGGATTGTATTGGCACATAATTTTGACTGATTTGTTTTTCTTACGGTTTATCAACACTTTTGCAACATAATTGTCCCCAAAACGAATTGATATGGGATGAAGCGGACATAGTGTCCCATTGCTATATTTATAATAATACATTCAATAATATTATTTTTCTAAGTCAAAGTCATTTAGATATGTCTACTGAAACGAACAATAATATTTTGATGTATACATCAATTATGCGAATGTGGACTTGAAAGGTTAAAGCTAAAATATTTTCTCATGATTGTAAGAATATTCTTTTTGCGAGTAAATATTGCTTTAACCTGTTTTTTTTTTTAATAACAACGATTTTCTAGAATGCAAGTTTTACTATTTAACCCATAGCTGTGAGAGGGAGATGGATTGATAGCTTTCCCAAGATTAAGAAAATTTACCTGGTACTGCAACTTGGTTACCCTATATCTCATGTAGTGATTTTCCGAACGTAGCTTAGATGGGGCACAAGGTCGAAGAGGAGGGCACCCAGTGAGGATCGAACTCACTATTCAGTCGTAATTGTTTTAGCGAGACAGGCTTGCTGACCATTACTCCGGCTCGAGGTGCCTTTCTCATCTAGGGTGTAACATGATATAGATATCAACGTAGAAATAGACTCTAAACAATCATCACTTCCCAATTGTAACACTCTCCTCCGGCTTCTTGCTTTCCAATCAACTTTGATCTTCAAAATCTACAATGACTCTCCTTATTTTCTGCTCCCTGAAATGATATACTATTATTGTTCTCGCTCCTTCAGTCAGTTATGTGCCATGCGCGATCATGTATCTTTCGATCCATGACTGACGAGGGAGATTTTTTTCCCGCAGTAGGTTGCCCTTTCTTTCTGCAGTAGACCAGTTGCCATCCAAGGCTATACAACTAGGTTTGTTCTGCTATTTCTGTTGGGGTGGGGGAGAAGAAGAGGATTCATGCCTTTTCCAAGGGTATTAGCATGTAAGTGAATGTAATGGATATGACTGAAATTCAAACTCGGCTCTCCGATTCCTCAATCCGAGCCGCTACCCATTACTCCACAGTCTCTCGTTAATTTTTCTTTTTCTCATATTCTTTCAAAGTCGGTATCCCCTTGCGTCTTAGTAGCTTTATTGCCTTGTTGTTGGTGAAATGATAAAAAAAAGAAATAGAAGATCATATTAAAAATAATAAAAAGAGTGCTGAATTGCTACGTAATATCTAACCTTCCATATGCCTGTAGATACTGGAGAGTTTCCTCACAGATGAAAAGCCTGGAAGCAACAGAAATGCTTTTCTACTAACCAATGTTAACGATACCACACACTAAAAATGTTAACAACGAAGAGTTTTAAGAAAAAAAAAAAAGGATCTATGAGGAAACTTATACTTACAATATGAAAGAGACAGCTGAAATTTCTTGAACAAGACACGAGGAAAGAAAGCGTAGATAATTTAACCCTCCTATGGTATAATGAAGACAAGAGAAGCAGTTGGAAACAGTGAGTAACCTGTTTAAAAAGATTAGTGAATGGATAGTAGAATATGGAGAAAGAGAGATGGTCAAAATTCAAAGATTGCTTAGTCGGGATGTTTCGGAGAGCCATGATCGTTTAAATCCTGAAGAGACACGGCACATTAAGAATTAACTGATCCAAAAGAAAAAAATATTGATTACGAAAAACACATGCATAATTGTTGATGCAAATGAACATCAATTTTTCCATACTCACGAGTTATAAATAATTACGGATAAACAAAGTAATTATTTTAGCATATGTACACTAATAAAAAAAAAAAAAAAGATGGTTGTG